TGTTAGAGGGGACTTTCCTTTTTTTCCTCTCATATCCTCACCCTGCCTACTCTCACTCCCTCAGTGTCTTAGCAACAAAATTCACTGGCCCGCTGTAGCTAACTTGTCTCCTACCCCCTCAAATCAATTAGTTCATCTATTTAAATCACGCATCAAAGAAGCCTGCCCCCTTTGAGCACAGAGCTCACTTAGGGCTCAATCCTACAGTCTTCAATTTTTAAGGCAGCAAGAGTTTGCAATTGACTCAAATCATATCAGGATCAGACCTTGCGTGTTCTAATTTCTTTACAAAAGCTGTGACATGATGAACAGGATACTGATGCCTATCACCATTTTCCTTCATCTTCTTTTTTGTTTAATTGAAGAACACAACATCATAGGGAAAAATCCTTAAATAATGCAGAAAATACCTAAAACACCTCCCCATTCACAACTGCTGCTTATTCATTATCTGTTCCAGAAATACATCTTCTGCAACGCCAGCAACCGTGCATTTGCAAAAATTGGATTTGTATAATACAGATAAATCCTCAAAATCACTCCTTGGAAGATTCATATGAGACTCTCAAATAATTTTTATAATGCTTGAACCTTCAATTTATTTCTTAATTTATTGTCTAGTGGAATTGATAAAAAAAGAAGGTAGATGTTTTGTGCAAGTCATCTGAGTTTTTAAGCCTCTTTATTGATTATTAATTATAATTAGCAATAAATAGATCAACACTAATAATCTTTTGTCTGAGGGGGAATGTTTGATCACTACTGCCACTTGCTCAGACGTTAGGTGAACCTCAGCCACTGCTTCTCTCATGATGTCCAGTGCTCTCATCTTTTTTTCTTCATCCTTTTTTCTTATTTCTTGCCTTATAATTAGGGAAATTATTTGGAACAGGAACCACCAGCTTTTGTCCTTGGATTTCTACAGTGCTAATTATGAAGGGATCTTGCTCCATAGCTTAAGACTGTAGATGCTAACGTGATGAAATTCATGGCAGGGAAGATCTCACTGTTCAGATACACCAACTACCTACAACTCACATGGTCTCAGAGCTGACACCTCTACTCTCATGAAAACCATTTCTCGAAAAACAAATACCAATTTACTAGTGAAGCGTAAAAAAGTAATCAAACTATCCACTATTAATCCTTGAGAGAATGTAGCTTGTTTCACATCCTGAATCAACCCAGGTGCCTCAGTAGCTGGTCAAAAGCAATCCATCAAGGGATTTATCTTTGTTAAGATAATAAGAGAGTGAAAGGCAGGACATACAAAAATCAATTCAGCTATTTTCTCTAACTATGGCTGTTTAGGAATCTCAGTTTGGGGCTGTTTACTCCAGCTATTAGGAACTTCCCTGCCTCAGACTGAGGACAAACCTCAGCCACAGCAGCTCAGCACTGAAGCCTGTTTTCTGGCTTTTTATTTCTTCTAACTCCAGCACCCTCATCCAAGCCTCTCCATAGCTTCAGTTTACAACTTCTCTGGAAAAAAAAAAAACATGGGCAGAAAATTGGTGAGGGTGAGTCCCAACACCTCGAGTCCATTATACTGCACAAATCTTCCATGTGAAATGCTGGGAACTGTGGCATGTGAAGAGATTACAAGATCAATTTTTAGCTCAGAACCACCTATTTTACCTAGACTATGTGAGTTCAGTTACCAAGTATTGCAGTAATACATGGCATTAGTTTCTGAGATTTATGTTGGCTTCATAACTTCATGCAAACTTATATTACTTTACAGGTGTATACAAAAATGGGGTCCCTGCTCCAAAGCAGCACCAGGGACAACAGTGGTAAATAGAAGCAGCAGTAAAAGCACTTAGAGAACACAGACTGCCACAGAGAACAAGAGAATAGTAAAGAGCAGGTTGGAGAACACAGGTAAACCAAAGGGGAACACCACACTATCCTCCCCCCACCCTTCCCCCCTCCCCCCCGCTTACCCGTGCTTAATGAAAACTAACCATTTTTGCTATTAAAACATCCAATTTTTAAAATAGATGGGGGTCTGGTACTGGAGTCTGCATTCATTCCAAATTCCCATTTACTTCACTAGGAATTAAAAGCATTTAAAAAGATTACTAAAGCTATTATTATCAGGGAAAAATGAGCAGGAGGCTGCAGTGCACTGGTTCTAATGTCATCTTGGAGTGCTGAAGAGTTTTTATGACTGACCTGATTTCCTGGATCATTTGTTTCCACTGATCAGCGAAAGCAGAAAAAAAGGGCCAAACTGCATCTCTGGGGAGTTAAACTGCATCTCTGGGGAGTTTCAGCTTCTCACACTGCCTGGGACAGGGTGTGATCCGCATTACATTACATTGATCACTCAATGTAATTTGTGTAGGAAAAAGAAAACCCCACCGATAAACATTTGCTGCCTCAGTTACAAAAGGTTTGCTTAAATATCATCATTAGACAAGCAGGGCAGGGCAGAGAAGGTATATACTAGCAAAAGTTCTTTGGAGACTGGCTTGGTATCAGAATTCAGGAATTTAAGCCTTTTCTTCCTTCTTGACAAGAACTCAAGGGAAGGTAGAGGGAATGTTAGCCTGTCACATTCCCTTCTACAGGCCTAAATCTCTTTTGTTACACAGAATATTTTGCATTTTTCTTCTTTGCTTTAATTTTTGTGCCTGGTTTCTCAGTAGGTTTTCTGTATTTGTTTCAGACTGTGCATGTCATTTCCAAAGGTAGCAAGTGATATTTTTATTGTAGCTTTGGTTTTAGCTCAGCTGAGTGCACAAGAGAAGACTGTGTGATTCCTCATCATGACACTTAATAAACGGGAAAGTTCTGGACAATATTTGATATAAATGCATCAGCAACTGAATGAGAACACACCTCAGTTTCTTTAAAATAAATAAGCAGGAGTAGAAATATTTACAAATAAGTAGGAGTTACCCCTTTGAAGCCTTGAACAGACAAAAATTCCAAATTAGCTTTATTTTCAGATCTGTTTGCCTGCCTTCCTCCCAGCTGCCACTCCAGTCTCAGGCCCCATTCCTTCTCCAGACAAACCCTTCTGGTTGCCTACCCTTTTTCATTCTCAGTGACCCCTGGTGAGAGGTCCTCCTCTGCCAGGACACCTTCTTTCATTTTTCAGCCCTCTCAAGAGTGCGCTCTCTGACTTAAGAACTTAATGCAGACACTTAAAACCACACTCATGTGTGACAGCTCATCCAGTCCCCAGGCCATGAGAGGTCACTGAAGAAGCAGGATCAGGTCATTGTGGTGGCAAGCTATATGCCACATTTGTAAGGGTAACTCAACCCTGGTCAGTTCAAAACCCCTACCTCAAAGCAAGGATCTGCAGCACTTGGCTTAGTGTGGAGACACCTTTATCTAAGTAGTTCTTAAAAGCAATACGGAGACTCCTCCACCTCCCAGATGGCCTTTCCTAGTGAAGCACTCTGTAGTCATACATTGTACTGAAATCTGTCCTAAACTTTCTGTATTGCTCTTTGAATAGATTACTTTGTAGACTTCTCTCTCAGCTGACCTAGTGGATTATGTGCTATGATGGCTCTTCTAACACCTTTTTCACACTGAAAGACTATTATTATTATTATTATTATGAGCTACATCTATACCATCCTATTTGCTCAGTGCTGGACCCAGAGCACAACACCCCCATGGCTCACACTGTCTGCTTATTACCTCATACTCTTGCTAGCTTTCCAGGCACAGATATTCATACATGACGGGGACCACTTGCCCATTAGTCTGCAACTGTAGGTGCAACTGGCTCAAGACATTCAGTTCTATGACCATAAACCCTAACTCAGGCAGATCTACCATATGCCATGTAAATATGTCCGCGCTGTCTCGAATTCAGCTGTCTTTCCTGTTCTCCAAAACTCTTACCGTTTTCATTGCTCTCCTCTGCATTCTGTCTATTTTTATTTTTCACCTCCTTTTCAGAGCCCCAAGCCGGACGCTGGCAAGCTTGATCAGTGCTGAGTAGAGGTTAAGTACTTCCAGTGCCTTCCATGTAACATTTCTGTAATACATTCCAGAATAAATGCGCTGTTCTCATCAGCCTCACACTACTGACTGATGAGTGGTCCCTTATATTCGCTAAGACTATGGTACTGCTGCTTGTACATTTGTAACACACAGCAGTTTATGCTTGCAGAATCAGATTTTCCTACTGACTGTCTAGACCTTGAGTTTAACGTTCATTCTAATGTGCTGACCCTTCAGCCCAGCATGACCATCAGAGCTGGTAAACCCCAGGGTAAATGCTTGGGCATACAGGTGAAAGATCATGAATTTACACTGCGGATCCCTTAGGACAGATCCTGGAAGAGACCTACCAAAGTGTTGAGATATAACTGTTATCTTCATAACTTAAAACACAGTGCTTAGTACATTACAGAAGCCGAAGGACAATAAATACCTGGCTGAGGAAAGTCTGAGAGTCTCTTCATCTCTGTAAAGTGCTCTGATATTCTTGGCTAGAACGTCCGTAGAAAGACAAACGGTCACTTTCCTCAATCCAACAGTTTTATTTGCATTCTGGTTTTCTTTTCCATAGTTACAAGTGCTGTGTATAGTAGCAGAACTAAAAAAGAAAAACCTAAAGAAAAAAACATGTCTTTTCTGAACTCCAGACAGAGTCACATCACTCAGAGCATCTAGTGGAAAACAGCATGGTAGTAATAATGGCTACAGCATGCCTTTGTGTCAAAGAAGTTTTAAATCAAAATCGTGAACTCATTCAACAGTCTCTTAGTGCATATTCAATAATTTTAATGAAATGCTGAACAACTCTTGGACAGATCTCAGGAGGAAGCCTGCTGCTCTTTTTGCACTCCTAACAACCTTTGACATAATGAGGTGTGACAACTTGATTTAAAATGTAGTTGCAGGAAGAAGGGCAGGAACGCTCTGCTCTGCCTTGTGGGTGTTGTAGTCTTTCTGCTGTCTATCTGCCTAGGCAGCAATAGGAAGCTGGACTCTAAGTCCCATAGCTCCCACTAGAGCCTACCGCACAGGCTCAGAGACCATATGCTAGGAGGGGGTGCCTACATTGTGTCTATTGTATGTTTTTTCTTTTTTTCCCCTGGCATTTTGTACATTTCACGGGAGGTTTAAATCGGGAGTGAAAAGCATGGCAGATGAGCAAGAAATTATGTGCAAACTCGAGAGCATCAAGGAGATCAGGTATGTTTGCTTTGTGCCGCATCAGTTACACGAAGCAGCTTTTTCCTCGGGGGAGCGGAGGAGTTGCATCGATCTGGAAGTAGCTATTGTGCTACTGAGGGAAAGACAACCACCGCTGGGCTTCATGATAAGAGCGGAAAATACATTTTTCTAAGTAGGGAAGGAGCATCTGCTGCTGGGAGTCGCTGCTGGAATGCGCAGTGAAGGGCGGCAATGGTCGTGCATTTCCAGAGGTTTAGCCCTGAGTGGTAACACAAGAAGGAAGAGTGCGCGGGTGGGAAGGACGCAGCAGCCCCACGCGGCTGGGGGAGTGGTGTCGGACTGCGGGTGGGGTTTTTTAAGCCCTTTGACTTATTATTTCTTATTCCTGAGGCTCTGTGTCATAGATGTATTCTTTTGCCGCACTCACTCCCCGGCAAGAGCCTTGACGGGTTGGGAAAGGAAGGGGGCACGAAAAGCAGAGTATGACGCCGAAAGCGGCGGACGGACGCGCCCCCGAGAACGGCAGGGATAAGCGTCCGAGCAGGGCAGGGCTA